GAAAAATATAATTATTTCAACAAGACGAGTGTTATTAGAAAAGAAGAAAGATGTTAAGTTGTGCCTGGGGAGCCAGAACTATTCTAACAGAAAAGAGAACATGTCAGACAAGAGGTGAGAATGATTCAAAGGTAATGGAGCAAAATGGGGGAGACAGGCCTAGAAGATCCTGGCAGATGCTGAGGGCACAGCACTACTGGGCCAGTGAGCATGCAGTGAGCTGAGAGGGATGGACATACATTGTCTGCAGGTCCTCATGGGCCGATCTCCAGAGCCCAAACTGTGAAGGACTTAGTTATAACAGTAATGCTCATAGTCACCACTGGTTACATCTCAACTGTGCTCTCCGCACTGTACAGAGAGCTTCCTACACTTCAGATGTCACAGTGAGCTATGATTTCTTTATTTTACCTACAGAAGGTTCAGTAAATTTCCCAAGTGATAGTACTAGGTATTGGCCAATTGCATCCACTCTTAGCCTGTATTGTTTTAAAGTCATTTTATTGATTTATTTTGGGGTGTAGTGCATCTTCACTACTGTGCAAGCTGTTCTCTATCTGTGGAGAGAGGGGCTGCTCTATGGTTGTGTGTCTGGGATTCTCATTGCTGTGGTTCCTCTTGGGGAGCATGGGCCCTGGGGCACATGGGCTTCAGTAGCTGCTGGGTGTGGGCTCAACACTTGCAGTTGCCAAGATCTAAGGCACAGGCTCAGTAACCAAGGCATATGGGCTTAGTTGCTCTGTAGCATGTGTGATCTTCCTGGACCAGGGATGAAACCCATGTCCCCTACATAGGCACAGGATTATTTGCCACTGAGCCACCAGGGAGCCCCAGTCCCAAACTCTAAACCAATATATTTACTTCACCACTTTTTATTGGAGAGTTTCTAAACTATGAGGCCTGGAAAAAGGACACAACTTGTACATACTTTCAATTTTATCATTGATGCCAGGAGGAGCCATGTAGACACCAATAAGGAAGTAAGGTGATGATTTGCCTTTTAGGAAGATGGCGCTATAAGCAGCATGGAAACCAAGTGAACAGGGGCCAGTGAAGAGGCCAGGAAAGTCATTAAACACCCAGTCAGGGCAGAGATGGTAGCAGCCTGAGTGAAGGCAGTGGAGGCAGGTGGAGATAGGGGATGGGTCAGGACCTTACTTAGCTCACAGAATCAGCAGATCCTGGTATCCTGCTGAGATTCTTCAGAAACATCATCAAACTCCATGGCAAAATACAAAGCAGAGCACAGGTTTTGCTCCCTGGAATCCACTCCAGACAGCATTAAAGGGCCCTTCCCATGGGATCCAGATTCTAGAAGGGTCTGCATGTCACCAACACACAAAGAAAGACATTCCTTCAGCTGCTTCTGTCCCCAAGTTCTGGTACTGAGCACACTGGTAACCTATCACCATTACCCTGAAGCACTGAATCAGGTCCTGGGGAAATGCTGATCTCAGCTCTTCTTGGCCCTCTGTCCTCCAGACAAGAGGGAATGGCATCCAAATCCCGTGAAGGTTCGAGGTCTGTGTAGGGCTGGTGTCAAACCCTGCTGTGAAGCAGGGCGTTAGAGCAGAGTGGGAGTCCTGCGGCAGGATGAGCGAGGCCAGGCCACGCATTGCACCTTCCTGTTGGCAGAGGGCAAGGGACACCACTCAGCACAGGGTCCCGCCACAAATGCCTGCATCCATTTTCCTGCTCCTACGTGTCTGGGGTGGTTCCGCAGACCCTGGAGTCAGCTTGTCAGTCTCACAGCTGAGCAGGATGAACAGCAAGAGCTGGCTTTGCCAATCTTTCACATGGCCGCTCCCATTCCTGCCCACGTGCACATCCAGATGGACAGACTGGGGGCTGGGGGGAAAGGCTGCAGCTGTGAGCTGTGAGTGATGCCAGGATTCTTGGCCTTTGGAGGAGAGAATTTTCATCCTGGGCAAGAAAAGACTTGATCACTTGGAGCTTTTGTGTAGCCAAGTTTAATTAAAGTATAAAAGGGAAAGAGAAAGCTTCTGACATAGACATCAGAAGGGAGCAGAAAAGATACCCAGCTTTTAGCAAGGTATCTTATACTCGTTAACAAGCTATTGATCATAGATATAAACACCTCAAGACTGAGAGAGCTGCACCAGGTTTCTCTCCCACAACATACATATCTGTACAAGGGGAGTCATCTCCAGATGAGATGTCACAGATGAGATGATATATTGTATCCATAAAACAATTGACATAAGTCTTGAGGGAATACAGACCTCCAAAGAAGATACATAGTATTCATTGACATAGCTTAAGAAAAGCATTTCCATGAGTAAGATGTAAGTAAGAAAAAGAAATGATCCTCCTGAACACCAAACAGCTATTTTTATTTATTCATGTAGAGATCATTGATATCCCCACTTGATGTATGACTAGTATTGTTTGGCTGGGCAATTAGCAGTTCAAGGATTGGAAAACGTTTTTTTTTGAGCAAACCAGTTGTCATAGCAACACAGGATCCAAAGGAACCTCCTACAGGGCTAAAGCAAAGGAATTTGCATTTAGAAAATGCTTGTTCTTGCCTTTGGGCAACTCTGGCCTCCCTCAGGAGACCTGCCTAGCTGTTAACCCTTTCAGGGCCAAGGATGGTACTCTAGTCTTGATGTCACCAGGGAGCTCCAGGTGTGGATTTCTGAGGTAGTTAATATCTCAGCCTAGGAGACAGTCATCTAGGAGTTCGATGACTGGCTTTGTGGTACTTCCGTGAGGATGCTAGTTGGCCATATGCAGCTCTATTTCATCTCAAATATATCCTGTCAAACTTGTTGTTTGCCTCCAAGTCTGAGTGGTGCTTTAGGAATTTGACCAAACATTCTACTTGTCCCTGGCCTAGCAGACAAAAGTTGTTCACACGAAATGGACTAAAACACAATCCTGCGGGTCTCTCCATGGCTCTACTGTACTCCCACGTTGCATGGGTGGTTGCCTTCTCCTGCGAACACTGACGGGTTGATCCAAGCTGGGTGCTCAGAGGACTGAGAGAAACAGCATTCTCTCTGCTCCCTCCTTTGTAGCCCAGCCCTGCTCAGCTTCTCCCGGGCTTCTGGAAGGTCCAGTTCCTGGAGCAAGGTTCACATTCCTGGGACTCCTGGGGTATCTCTGATTCTATGATACAGACTGACTATGCTGTCCTGCCAATAGGACATACAAAAACCCTATGTGAAAATAGTGAGTCTAACAGCATTGTTAGTAGTTTTTTAAAATGAAATCAATAAACATATTGTATGAAGTAAGTATCACTACAGATACATACAAATACAGATAGGGATGTATATACCTGATTGTATTATTCACATAGGCATTGCCTGCCATGCAAAACCCCAAATCTATGTCATCATTACGTCCATGGGGATGTTTTGCTGACAGTTATACAGAAACAATCATTGTACCTAGACAGGTATAAAGATATGTATTTGTCAAGATAGGAGAATAGAACACAAACTGCTTAACAGAGGTGAACTAGTGTCATGATTTACACGTGGGGCCATTGACATTCATTCATGATCCTGCCTAGATACTGGATGAACTTCTGACATTTTTAGGGTTGCTCAGTGCACCAAGTTCTTAGTTCACATAGCCTTCGATCTAAATCCATGCTCTTAGGATTGCTCTTCCTGTTTGCCACTACATTCCAAATCCTGGTTGGTCTTGTAAAGTGCACATGCCATTACATCCCTGGCAGGTGGGATAAGGAGCCAGCACTGTGTAGGTTCGTGGGGAGAGAGTTTAGTGAAGTGACACTCTCTCCCTGACCTCGCCCTAAGATTGAAGGAATAGCCCCTGCCTGCCTGCCTGCCTGCCTGCCTGACTGCAGGCCGGCCTGCCAGGCTGAGGAGCCCCTCTGGCGGCGGTGGCGGGGCCACGCCCCCAACTCCTGCAACTCGGTCCCCTCAAGGAAACTTCTGGGGTGACTCCCTTGTCCAGGGAGTCATCAAAATTGTCCTGTTTCTGAAAAAGGCCCGAGTCACAGCTGTGACAGAGTCCCTGGATCTCTTCTTGACACATGGATTGACCTGCACCCTCCCATCCTGTCAGATCCTTTGGACATGCTCGAAGGGGTCTTTGGCCTGGGCCAGAAAACAAGCCGAGATAAACAAATATGTTTTTGTCTGTGTGTGTGTGTGTGTTTTGTTTTTTTTCTTTGAACAGGGCGAAAACGATTCAGGGCCGTGGATCGGAGAGAAACCTGCTCCTCTCACACACGTGAAGGCAGGAAGTTCTCAGTGGGAGAGAACCTGCCTTCACTTCTCAGGGGGACTTCTCACCGGTCCCCTCGCCTCGCACACCCCCAACCCCTAGCCCAGCTCTCCCCGCTCCTCCGTCTCCCCAACGTCACCCCCACCCACACTCCCACCCCGGCCACCAAGGGGGGCCCAGGGAGGGGTGGCCATGGCCGTCTCAGCCCTGGTTCTGAGATGTCACTTGGGAAACCGCTCTAGGCCGAGATGCCAGATTGCTGCCATGCTGCTTCGTGTCCGTCTCCATCAGCCATGCCCAAAAGGCACGTGAAATAATGGACAGCAAATAGTGCACCCAGAAAACACAGAATGATCTTCCTGAACACCACACGACCATTTTTATGGATCCACGTAGAGGTCGTTGATATCCCCACTTGATGCATGAATATATTCACACAGACGGGGGACGCGGGGAGAGGCATGGCACGGATGAGAGTGCGGGGGCGTCGCAGGGCGGCCCCGCCGTCCCCTTTCCCAGGGGGGCGAGTGGGGCCGGGGGGCTGGTGGCACACACCTGTCGCGGCTGTCACCTCTGTGCGTGCACGTGTCCCTTCCCTCTGGTCCCGGCGGCAGGGAGAGGGAAGATGAAGGCACGTGGGTGCTCGTGGGCCCTTGCGCTCTTCCCTTCCCACCGCCATGGAGAGGGTCGACCAGCAGGCCGGAGCGCACTTGGCCTCCAGGTTGAGGTAACAGCGTGTTGATCAGCCGGCCGGGGCCCACCTGGCCTCCGCATTGATGGAGCGCCGGGTCGACCAGCTGACCGGGGCCCACTTGGCCTCCGGGTTGAGGGAGCAGCGGGTCGATCAGCCGGCCGGGGCACACTTGGCCTCCACATTGAGGGAGCGGCAGGTCTACCAGCCGGCCAGGGCCCTATTGGCCTCCAGGTCGAGGGAGTGGCGGGTAGAGCAGCTGGCCAGGGCTCTCTTGGCCTTAGGTCGAGGGAGTGGCGGGTCGACCAGCCGGCCGGGGCCCACTTGGCTTCCGGGTCGAGGTAACGGCAGGTCGATCAGCTGGCTGGGGCTCACTTCGCCTCCCGGTCGAGGGATCTCAGGGTCGACCAGCAGGCCGGGGCGACTTGGCCTATGGATTCATGGAGTGGTGGGTTGACCAGCCCACTGGAGCCCCATTGCCCTCCGGGTCGATGGAGCAGCGGGTCGATCAGCTGGCCAGGACCCACTTGGCCTCTGCCTCGAGGGTGCAGCGGGTCTACCAGCCGGCCGGGGCCCAGTTGGCCTCTGGGTCAAGGTAGCGGCGGGTTGATCAGCTGGTCGGGGCCCACTTGGCCTCCGGGTCAAGGGAGCTCCTGGTCAACCAGCCGCCGGGCCCTCTTGGCTTCCAGGTGGAGGAAGTAGTGGGTCGAGCAGCCGGCCGGGGCCCTCTTGGCCTCCGGGTCGAGGGAGCTCTGGGTCGACCAGCCAGCCGGTGCCCACTTGGACTCCAGGTGGACGGAGTACTGGGTCGACCAGCCTGCTAGGGCCCTCTTGGCCTCCAGGTCGAGGTAGTGTTGGGTCGAGCAGCTGGCCGGGGCCCACTGGGCCTCCGGGTCGAGGGACTGACGGGTCGACCAGCTGGCTGTGGCCCTCGTGGCCTCCACAACAAGGGAGCAGTGGGTTGAGTAGGTCGCCAGGCTCTGTTTGGCCTGGTCTGAGTGCTCTGTCGCATGGATTTGACTTCTGGAGTCGAATTGGCCTTGGCGAGCTGAGTCACCAGTACAACCCATTCCCTGGCATTTGCGTTTTCTTTTTAAGATGCGTTGAGTTTTTTCGTTGCGGTGATGTGGGTGATGGGTGTGTGCCTTTGCTTTTCGTTTCACTGCCACAATACGGAGGGGTACTTTCAACATGAAGGGGTGTGTGTGGGCGTGTGGGCGTGTGTGGCGTGTGTGGGGGGTGTGTTTTTATTTGTCCTGTTGCTGTACGTTGCTTTTCCCAAAAGAGCCGTCGTCGGGGTCACAAAAGGGGTTTCTCCTGGTATGCTGAAAGGTGGTGACAGGGACGGGGGTGATGGCGAGGTATTTCTCGGGGCGGGTGCTGGTGCCGCCTGACGTTGGCCTGCGGTCCCCCTCGGATGGGAGTGCCTTCCGCTGCCCCGTGGGTGGAGAGTCAAGAGTCCTTCCTCCTCCTGTCCTTCCAGTCGTCGGTCGTCGTACCTCGCCCACGGACGTTCTGGGGAAGTGTCATCGCGTCCTGTTCTCCTGTCCGCGTCGGTGACTGAGCGTAGAAACGCACACTGGGACGGGCCCCGTCTGGCAACGAGTCCCTGCCGGTCGCCCCCAGATCTCCTGTCCTGCGGCCGGCTCTCTGGACAGCGGGTTGGGGGTCGGGCGCCAGCTGCCTGTGGGTCGCTTTTTACATGGTCCGGCGGGGCAGGGGGGAGGCCGGCAAACTCTTGAATGCCCTCGGGCTGTGGAAGGAGGCTGTGTGGGAGGGGCACCTTGGGCCAGAGGTCACGGGGGAGGGGGGATGGGTAGCCAGTTCGGCTTTGTGGTTTGGATTGGAAGTCTTACTTTCGAAACTTGCTTGATTTGGGAGAGCAGGTGTTTGAACTCAAGTTGAATGGACTTTTCCTCCTTTTTGGCCTTGTCACTTGGCAGGGGGTAATCTCCCTTGTCCCGCCAAGAGTTTCAAACAAAGACACGAGAGATCACGCAGATCCACTCATTCCGGTCAGGGTTCAGAGCCAGAACAGCAAGGATCGAAGCTCGCCTCGTGACACCCAACCGCCCGCCCGCCCACCAACTTGGAACACTCCCCGGTCTGCCTGCTAAAGACAAGTGGCTGGATGGTGTCTGAGGGGAGGGTGGCAGATTCCCGTTTCATGGCAGTGGTCTTGATCAACAGAGGTGATGAGCTCAGAAAAACACAAGCCAAGCCAAATGTGCAGGAGGATGTCCATGCATGTTGGTTGTCTTTGGCCTGACTGTGTGTCTCTGTCTCTGACCGCACCACCCAGAGGCACACCCCACACGCATACCCACACACATCCCCCGCCCCTACACACACACACACACACACACACACACTGTGTCTGTCTCTCTCTCTCTCTGTGACTGTGTTGTCCTTTGCCCGACTGTGTGTCTCTGCCCGTGAAATACCCCACACACCCACGCTGCACACACACGCGGCACCCGTACACAGCACACACACACAACACACCCCTGCACACCACACACACAACACACCTGTGCATGCCACAGACACACCCCACGCGTACCCGCACACACCACACACACACACCCTGCCCCCACACACCACACACAGCGGCCCCACCCCACTCTCTGTGCTGTCCTTTCTGTGCGGCAGGGACAGAGTGTGTGGTGTGTGGAGATGTGCGTGGGGTGTCTGGGGTGTGCCTATCACTGGTGCGGGTGTGAGGGGGTGCGGGCAGATACACACACACACACACACACACACACACAACACACCCACTCCCACACACCCTCTGACTGGGTTGTCCTTTGCCTGGGTGTGTCTCTGCCCGCCCCTTCTCACACTCGCACCCTCAGGCACACACCACAGGCATATACCCCACAAACCCTGCCCCCCCCACACACAACCCCTGAACCCCCCCCACACACACACATACTCTGTGTTGTCCGTGGTGGGTGGGGGGTGTGTGGCCCGGGCATGGGGGTGGGTGGGGTGTGTGGCCCGGGCGTGGGGGGGGGGGGGTGGGCCGTGTGTGGCTATGCAGAGACACAGCCAGGCAAAGGACAACACAGAGTGTGTGTGCGTGAGTGTGTGTGTGTGGCTGTGTCTCTCTGCCTGCCACGTCTCACTGGCACCACCCTGAGGCACACCCCACACACCCCACACATACCCACACACACCCCATCCCCACATACCACATAAACACATCACACTGCCCCACACACGCAACACCTGCGCATGCCACAGACACACCACACCACACCACACCCACTGTGTGTGTGTGTTCCTCTTCCTCGCTTGCTTTCTCCTTCCCCTTCCTCATCGTCCCTCTTCCCCTCCCCTCCCTCCCTTCCCTCCACCTTCACAGGACAGGAATGCCTTTAGATGAGTCTGCCTGTTTGTTAATACACCCTTGACATGAAGATTTCTACAGTCTGACCTGTCCCTCGCTGCAGACGAGCAAATGGACAACGACTGAAAGCAACGCTGTTTGCCACTTGGGGCATACCTTCCACAGTCTCTAGTGGTTGACACGCCACCCACTTCCCCGAGCCAATCCTAGGAGCCTTCACCCAAGGCTCTTGCAGCATTCTTCACATCTGTCAGTCTTCCAGTCACCCGCCATCATCAGGCGAGGTATAGAGAACCGATGGACAAACTGGAGGAATGACTTCTTCCGTGGGGTGGGAGGAGATGAGGAAGGAGTAGGATGCTAAAGTGGGATGCTTGACTTCTTGATGAAATGAAGATCGATCGGGGGGGTGGGGGAGCAGGACTGTGAACTTAGGAGGTCCGGTTGAACACGTGCACATATAAGCGGCACATCAAACCAATCAATAAGCACCCATCAAAGTGCTTACAGTGCAGGTAGTAAAAAAAAAAAAAACAAGCACCCACTATGCAGCCCAGGAGAGTAGACTTATGACTTTGCATTAACCTCTAAGGGAAAAGAATCTGAAAACCTGAAAGGAACACAACTTTGTAAACCCACTTGATACTTCATTTCTGCCAATAAGGGTGGTGTCATTTGCATATCTGAAGGGATTGATATTTCTCTGGGCCATCTCGATTCCAGCTTGTGCTTCATCCGACCCAGTGTTTCTCATGATGTGTACTCCGCATTTAAGCTGAATAAGCAGGGTGACAACATACAGCCTTGATGGACTCCTTTCCCTATTTGGAACCAGTCTGTTGTGTTCCATGTCTAACTGTTATAACTAACATGTTCTAACTGACTAACTAACTAACTAACTAACATGTTCTAACTGTTGCTTCCTGACTTGCAGAAATACTGATTTCTCAAGTTGTTGGAGTTTTTTTTGTTTTGTTTTGTTTTGTTTTGAATTCCCTAACCTGAATGAAAAGCGAGAGAGACAGAGAGAAGATGGAGGGGCGAACAGGCGGGCGGGCGGGAACAATAAATAAATAAATAAATGAAAATAAAATAAAATAAATAAGAAAAGGACCTACCGTTCAATCTGTTGTTTTCCAGATACAAAGCAAAAACAAAGGACCGAAAGGACACAATGTTTACAATGTGAATTTTGAAAGAGGGGCATCCACTTTGGTCACTTCATACACTACCCCTATCAGCAGAATGGAATCGTTTCTGTTTTTCCCTCTACCTGGTCCTTCCAGACTTCAGAAACTCTCAGCGAGGGTTCTTATCTCCTTGGCGATAGAGTGATTTTTCCACACGTTCCTTAGGGGCCCGAAGGATGTTTCCGTGAAGCGGGGATACACACTTCTTGGATAGGAGAGTCCTGCGCTACGTGTGTTTGTTCCTTTGCGTGTGGCTCTTCACCCGAAAGGGGGACTGGATCCTGAAGTTTTCCGAGTGCGCTCCGATATCTGGGGTCAATCCTCTCTGGGGGGAAACACGTCCCATGTTCTCTTGCCCTGCTGACAGAGAACTCAAAAGGCCCTGTGCCTGAAGCCCCGCGGATGGAAGCTAGAGCACTTGGTGAACATTTCTGACAGAGCTTCCCTGGTGGCTCACATAGTCAAGAGTCTGCCTGTGATGCAGGAGACCCAGGTTCCTTCCCCGGGCCAGGAAGGCCTCTTGGAGAAGGACATGGCAAACCGCTCCAGGACCAAACTCTGATGTCTAGACATCTCCTTGACTGACTCCCCCTCCACCGACTGGTTTCGAATGAATCCACTCCAGGGGTGAACCGGTGTGTTTCCTTGCTTTCCCTACAAGTGCCTCTGAGGAAAAAAATACCTGATTGCTTGCACCCCAGGCCTGCTTTCCCGAACCCATCCGTCGACCTCACAGCCTCCTGAGAGGAGATATGATAACTGTTTCACTGAACGGAGGATCTGTGCTCAGAAACTCTTTCCATGACATGGAGGCCCGTACTAACTAACCTATTTGGTCCTTCCCTCGTTCCTTCCTTCTTTCCTTCTGGATTTGTTGTTGTTGTTCCACCCTTCCCCCCCCCCCTTTTTTTGGGGGGGGGGCTTCTCTCTCAAGTCCATGCACACGCACACGTGCCATTTCTCCCGTACATGCACGCACTCACACACACAGTCACCAGTTCAGTTTTTCATGGGTTTCAGGCAAGTGTCAGAGGAGGGAACTGCTGGGGTACGGAGTAGGCCGCTGACCCCACCCCACCCCACGGCACATGAAGCTCCATGTCCTGTGGAGTGTTTTGGATTCAAGTGACTTAAGAACCAAGAACCGGCCAGCGCCAGAGGAACGCTCTGCCCCTCCCTCCTTCTCTGTCTCTCTGAAGGCAGGCAGGAATGAAAACCTCCTTCCAAGGAGGAAGATGTCAAGTGATGATGGCTGCTTCGACGCATGTCCGTGATCCTCACGTGCATTAGCAGGGTTTCCTGGGTTACGAAAAGGAAGAGACTGCTTTGGCCTGACACAAGGCGAGTTTGTCCCTCAGCC